CCCCATCTCTACCCCCTAATAACCCCACTGCAGGGGTGAGACCCCTCCTGGCCTCGAGGTGCTGTTAATTAGAGCTTAATTAGAGCTCAATTAGAGCTGGGGGCTGCAGGCTGAAGGTGAAGGTTGCTGTGGGTACAACCACAGAATGGTTTGGGTTGGAAGGGACATTAAAAATCATCTCGATCCATCCCTGGCATGGGCAGAGGGTTTGCCCCCATCCCAAGGAATCCCAGCCCCTTATCTCCCCGTCTGTGACTTTTTTTGTTTTGGTGTGAAATTCCTGCTTTTCATTCAGATCCTTCAGCCCTGGTTTGCCAGGGCTTTGTCCAGCCAGGAAATTATTCACCAAATCCATCCAGGGGTTTGCAGATGCACCAAATGAGGATTTCCCTCCCCATCAACGCTCTCTGTCTGCCAGCCCAGAGAGAAATGCCCCATTTTTATGCATTATTTATAGGCTTTTTAAATTCTATTATAGGCTTTTCCTACCCACAGCCACCAGTAGTAAAAACACCTGGTTTATACATTATTTAGGTTTTTGCTGCCCGGGGTTTTAAGCAGTTCCTCAGCAGATGTCAGCATTGGGAAGGTTTTTTTTCCAAAGGGATTTAGAGTGGAAACCCCAAAAAGATTTCTGCAGGAGGCCTCATCCCCAGGGATGTCCTCAGCCAACATGGAAACCATCTGAGGGGTTTTTCTATCTCACTTTATCTGGAGCTGTGATCTTTGATATTTTTTCTCTATCTCACTTTATCTGGAACTTTGCTCTTTGCCTTTTAAGCACTTAATTAACTGGTGTTGATTAACCCACTTCCCTTCTCCAGCCCCCTTTGGAATTCAGCCCCTGGCACACCTCACCTCGCTGCTGCTGCCCTGGGAATTGACTATAATCCATAAATAATCAATAATTCAGAGGGCTGCAGCTCTGGCAGCTCTGCCCAGCCCAGGTGCTGCTGCCCAGCTCCTGTTTCAGGGCCCAAATTGTTGATAGATTTCCGATTTCAGGGCCCAAATTGTTGATAAATTTCCTATTTCAAGGCTCAAATTGTTCTCTATTCCTGGAACAGAGGAGAAATGCAGGAAAAGCCCAGCCAGGATCAGCTCATTCCTGCAATTGTGACAGCATTCAATTTCCCCATTCTTATTCCATTTCCCCCCATTTTTCTCCCCGTTTTTCCTTGAACACCAACCTCCTTTTCTTCTCCACAAAAAGGATCCGTGACCTCTTCCATCCGTTTTCCTCATCATCCCCTAAAAACAGCTCAGGAAGATGAAGCACAAAGCAGCTGCCCTGGGGAGTTGTTCAGAATTTTAAAAAGCCTCAAAAACTCGATTTTTTCCCTACTTCCAAGCATTTTTATCACCAATCTTTGTCCCTAAATTCATTTTTTTTCCCCTAAAGGAGCATTTTAATGTTATTTTTCAGCAGGGTAAGGAGATTACGTGGGGCCGGGGCTCAGCAAGGCCCTAAGCAGATTGGAGCAGCTCCAGAGACATTTTTAACCCCCTGGATAAAGAACTGAACCCTGAAATAATTATAACCCCACGGATGGATATTTTTAACCCCAATGGATAAAGATTTTTAACCCCCTGGATAAAGATTTTAACCCTGAAATAATTACAACGCCACAGATGGACATTGTTAACCCCTATGGATAAGGATTTCTAGCCCTAAAATAATTATAACCTCATAGATGAAACCCCATGCATAAACATTTCTAACCCTAAAATAATTATAATCCCCCTGGATAAAGATTTTAACCCTGAAATAATCATAACCCCATGGATGAACATTTTAACCCCAATAAATGGACATTTTTAACCCAAATAAATGGACATTTTAACCCCAATGGATGGACATTTTTAACCCCAATGGATGAATATTTTAAACCCCAATGGCTGAGCATTTTTAACCCCAATAAATGAACATTTTAACCCCAGTGGGTTAAATACTCACCCTGCCTTTGCAAAGCCAGAGCTGGGTGAACAAAAGCATTTCCAATGAACTCAAGCAATAAAAACCAACACAAAATCAATGGGAGGTGATGGAGGAGCTGAACTTTCCTCCCTGCCCGAAACCACAATTGGCATTTTCTGGCAAAACTCACCCCAGGAATGATTTCTGAGCAAAACTCATCCCAGGAATGATTTCTGAGCAAAACTCACTCATCCCATGAATTATTTCTGAGCAAAATTCATCTCATGAATGATTTCTGGGCAAAACTCATCCTGTGAATGATTTCTGGGCAAAACTCATCCCATTGAATGATTTCTGAGCAAAACTCATCCTGTGAATGATTTATGAGCAAACCTCATCCGGTGAATGATTTCTGGGCAAAAATCACCCCAGGAATGATTTCTGGGCTGGCACAGGGCCTGGGTGTTGTTTCCACCGTGGATGAAGAACAACCAAAGCTCCGAGGAGCTCGATGCAGCTCCTGCCTTGAGGCCGAGAGAAATTTTACCCTGGGCTGCTGAAAATCCATTAAAGAGCAGGGAGGCTTCAGCCCTGATGACTTCCACGAATGAAAACCTCGTAAATAATCCATGCTCCTGCTCGATGTGCAGCTGGGATCTCTGTTTCTGCAAACACAACTTCAGTTTCCAGGAAAAGAAAAAAATAAAAAGTTTGTTTTTCAGTGTTGGCCACAGCACAATTATCAGTAAATGTTCTTTTCAGAGAAATAATTTGCCCTTGTTGTCATTCTCCTGGAATGAATTATTACAGTAAACCCCTGATTTTTTTGATTAATGCAGGATTAATTCACCCCAACCAGCCCATTCCTGGTTTCTTCCTTTTCCTGGCATGGAATTTGGATGAATATTTAAACCCAAGGCAGGCAATCAGCAGCCATTCCACCCACAGACCAAATTCCTCCTGCAGGGCAGGGCTTCCACAGGCCTCAGTCCTGCTTTTTTCATCTTCTCCTGCCTGGGTTAATGTTTGTGTTTTCCCTTTTTTCCCCAGAATGGTCATTCCTGGCCCAGCTGTTTTGGGCCTCCTCAGGAGGGTTTGGGGTGTGTTAAAATCATAAAATCCTGGGATTTGGGTTGGAAAGCGACCCTAAATCTCATCAGTGGCAGGGATGCTCCAAGCTGGCCTTGGACACTCCCTGGGAAACCCTAAAAGTTGAGAAAACCCTAAAAATTGGGAAACTCCCTCATTTTGCTCTTCAGGTCTCTGTATATCCCACCCATGCATCCTTACCCTCAAAAAAAAAAACCCAATTTTTGCCATCCCATGGGATTTTTAATTGTGTTTTGTGGCATTTCCTCCCATTGAATTTCAGGATTCCTGGAAATTGAGATTGCAGGAGCGAGTTCTGCTCCTCTGCAGGGATTTGGGTTGGAAAGGCAAATTCATCCTTTCTCCCAAGCTCTGGGCTGATTTTATTTCCTCCCCACAAGCCCTGGGAGCAGCTCTGATCCCCAGGATAATGGATAAAAGCATCCTGTCCTCTCCCAGATTTCCAACCCACCCCAAACCCCGATGGTTTGTCAATTAAAAAAATAAAAAAAAATCCAAGCGTTGTGATTTTCCAAGATTCCCCAAACCGCCCCAAACCTCCTCATTCTGTTCAGTATTTCTTCAAGAAACCACCAAGGTACTGCAAATTTCCAAGATCTTCCGAGCCTTGATATCCCTTCAGTACAAAATCCGAACGCTGAGATATTCCAGGATCTTCAGGTCAGCCTCAAACCCTGAAAATTCTCCAATGAAATCCTCCAGGTGCTGCGATTTTCCAGGATTTTTAAATCAGCCCCAAGCCCTGATATTTCTTCAGCATAAAATCCAAATGCTGCAATATTGCAGGACTTCCAAATCTGCCCCAAATCCCGGTGATTCCATTGTTATTTCTTCAATAAACCATCAAGGCACTGCAATTTCCCACCATTCCCAAATCCTGGTGAGCCCACCAACATTTCTTCAATAAACCATCCAAATATTTCAATTTCCCAACGTCCCCCACACCTCGATACTTCCTCAGTATAAAATCCAAGCTGCTGCAATATTCCAAGACTTTGTCACCAGCCTCAAACCCTGATAACTGTTCAATAAAACCATCCCTGCCCTGCAGTTTTCCAAAGTTTTATAATCAGACTCAAACCCTGATAATTCTTCCATAAAACCATCTGTGTTCTGCAGTTTTCTGAGATTTT